GATCCGTATCGGAAAATGGATCGCCCAACTCTACGGTACGATCAAACAATAAAATTTTATGGTGTGGTTTCATAATAAAATTCATTAGCGGGTTTTCTTTTGTCTTGCTTTTTCAATAGTATTAATTTTTATCGGGAGAATGTTGAATGTTCAAAGCATAAACATTGTTGTTTGTGTGAATGACGTCGAATTCCAGATCAGCGGGATTTTAAATGTTGGCGCGTTTCTTTTTTTCCCCTGGCTTATGATTAATTGGCCACCACAATGTATAAACGCAAACACGAGAAAAAGAGTTTTAAATGCGTGCCCAAACCCAGAACAACATTTTTTTCTTCTGTTGTTTGTTTGTTTCCTATCCGAGCTTAGCCGCGCCACTCAAATCGTTGCTGTAAAAACTTTTATTTCCTACTCTTCTTTACAGAACCAACGCCAATGTTGATGCCGGAAGGTTTTGGCATTCGCCTGTTGTTCTATTCAATGCCATTAAGAGAACATGTTCGAGGGAGGGGTCTGAATAGTGTTTAAATAATTTTTATGGTGCTTTGCTATAAACTGACATAAAAGATCCATCAACTGCAATTTAACAATCCTCTCGAAACGAGAATAAAATTTGTTATATTTGAAAGTTAGTGAAAATCGAAGGATGCGATGCCACATGGCAGAAATTTTTGTATTCCTCGTCCGCGACGCGATAGAAGTAACATCGAAGATGCTTCGGTTGAATATAAATGATGAACAAAAAACGATATTTCGAAGAAGAAAACTTAAGGATGGCAGCAAAAAAAATAAATAGTTTGTCTTTCCACCCTCTTGAGTTCCACCGAACGAAATGTTATATAAAAAGTGAAGAAGAAAAAAATCGCAAAGTAATAACCACGTTCGTTGAATACATGAGCGAATATTTATTTTTCTATTAGCTGAAGAGCATCGTGAAAACTCCCAGGCAACGAGGGTGAATGTTAAATGTTTCATAGTTAATTTGATTATGTCATCATAAACAGAAGCAAGGAAAAATTGATAGTAAATGTAAATAGATCTACGTAAAAGGAAAGTCGTTTAACTCTCATAAGAATTTCATTGTTGATGGGATGAGATAGAAGGAATTGAAAGGAAGAAAAATGATTTTTATTTGATTGTGGAAAAATGGTTGAAATGTCTCATTTTAAGGGTGACTGAATAGCGGTAATTTATTAATGAAACAACGCTAATCATAAGTAACTCGGACTAATAAAATTAATTTCCTTCTACATCACATCACTCTTCGTCTTCATGAAGATGGAAAATTGTCACTTGTGAAGAATCTCACGGGATTTTCCCAGCAGTTGCAATCATCAATTATGCAGCAAGCAAGCGGAAGGGGTTGCCGTTATTGTGCGAAATCTCTTTTTCTATTCTCCCCTCTTCATCACATTCTATCGGTGTCAGAAAGATGAGGAAGTTGAAGTAAAAAGGAAAATCGCATTACAATACAATTTCATCATTCGTTGTGCGAAGAAATCAATCAAAAAAAGAAACGAAGAAAAATGAAATCAAAATAGAAAACGACAAGAAATAATCACCTTTTATTTTGTCATTTTTGATCAGAATCGTCATTAATTTTCTTCAATTTATTTTTCACTTAATCGAAGAAGAATTGTCATTGAGTTAATTTCGTTTTTATTTCTTTCTCAAAGTTGGATTTGTGACCAAGAAAAAAGAAAAGAAAACTTAAAGATAGAAACATTTGCAATGGGATTTCTTAAATGGATCTTACGTAATTTGATTGCAAGATTTAGTTTGATCCCCTGCTTTCGAGACGAGAGCGTATTTCTTCTATTTTAGTAGATACCTCATGCAATAAAATTCAGAGATTTTAGAGGGTGAGATGAAAAAGTCTTACATTTCATTATGTCACCCTCAAAATGTTGCTTCTCATTTTTCAACACCATAATGTGTTTAAGTTAAAAACTGCACCACAACAATCTCGCTTACTGATGAAGTAATCAAACCTTTCTCATCGTTCACTGACATATTAAACCTCCTTCTTCTCAGCTCAGCTTAGCTTTAAATATATCTTTTTCCTATTTCATGTTATCACTTACATGTTGAATCCCTTTTGGCTTGCTAACGCTAACGCCTCTCATGGTGGTTAAGTCATTGAGAAATGAGATAGAAAAAAAGAAATATCTTGCGACTTGAGATAATGAAGTAACAACAAAAGACCCTGTTAGCTTTTAATCATGACGCAATGCTTCCTAAAGCCTTTTCACCAATTTATCTTCTTCTTCATTTTAAATACTCGTTTAATAAATAAATTGCCAGCTTAAGCATTTTTTGTGGAAATTTGAATAACATTGTTAGCAATAAGTATCAGAAGAAGAAGAAATTTCTTGTATGTCTGTTTGTTTTGTCAAATCTTCCTTCTTCTAATCAGAATCAGGAAAACACGACGTGCTTAATATTTGTTTGTCCAACCTCTTACCAAATAAGAAGATTGTTATTTGTTGTCATTACTCTCTTGAGCTCTGGTTGCTTTCTAGCTTTCTTGCTTGTTGAGTAAACACATGTTGAAATTAGTTCATGCCGTTTTTCTTTCACTTCCTCTCATCATCTCTCTCAAATGAAAGATTCATCCATTTCGACTTCAACAGGGATTCTAATCAATTATCTTAAATCTTCATTGCAACTTCACATTTGCCGACCTCATTTTTTCTCCGGTGATTTATTAAGAAATGCCAACTTCTATACTTCTTTCATTTTCCACCATTCCTTAGCTCTAATAATATGTTTGATGATGATATCAACATTAAATGACGACGATGTATGAATGAGATGAGTAATCGTATATGACTTGACCAATTGCCGTGTAAATCTTCTTACTCTTTAACACTTCTCCAAGAGTAAGAAATGAAATAGAAGAATGAACCCCACGATGATGCTGATGATGATGATGATGTTGTTGATGAGTGTGTAATGTATAACCAACAATTTTCTATTTTGTCACAAAATTTACGTTCAAACACCTCTAATGACTAAATAGCTAGAGAATGAGTGAAATGGAACGACCTCTCCAAGGGAGACGAAGAATAATGCTTGTTTATCTAGTCCGGTAGTACGAAAGTAGAAAATGTCTTGAAAAATGAGCGGTAATAAAAGCGACTAGAGTCGAAAGCCTATTGCTCTGTGACAACCATAACTTTTGTCATGAAATTGGGTCATTTTTTTCGGGTTTGAACACTTCTGAAAATTGTAAATGACGATAATAAAAGTGATTATTTGCTTTCGTTTTGTACTTCTTCTTCCTTCTTTTTTTGTGTCTGTTGATTGTTGTGCTTATCATATTAAACATGATTGTGTGTGTGCATGTGTGTTTAAGCTAATCGAAAATTGTTAGGAGAAATCAGAAAGCCACCCACGCCTAACATTTGCATTTGAATAATTAAATGAGATAATTCGTTGACTCGCGTCTGATTTAAGTTGAATTGTTCCCATATGCGTCTGGTAGCAATTGCGAGAACTATTTTGATTTTCCCATGAGAAAGTCATCGTTTTATTGACTGACATTAACATCAAGTCTCATTTCATTTGATGAGTAACAAATTGTTGAATACAAGGCAGTAATGCGAACGATTCTTCTGCATTAAATTGTTTTCGTGAACTTGATGTGAAGTGCTTCTGATAAATATAAATCAACGCTTTTCGTAGGAGGGAAATTATACTTGATTGCATCGACTTGTTCGTTTTAATTTAAATAAAAATTAATTTAATAAATTTATGTTATCATATGTTGTCGATCTTCGCATGAAACTATCTGAATTCAAATAAATTCGCAAATCTTAATCGTCTGAACTTCTTATGCCAGCTCAGTTACAATCAAATAATCATATAACTTTGCCTGTCAAACTTTCATGCTGCGCACCACTCGTAAATGCATAATTTATGACTTTCGACGCTTTGTTCTTTCTTGTTGTGAAATCTCGTATGTATAAGTAAGAATAAATGCGATAGGGAAGAAATCAGAAAGCAGTTTAGGAAAACGAGAAGAGATGATTATCACAGATAGTCGAAGTGAAAAATAGTGGGGGAGGAAGAAATTCAATCAGTTTGATGTCTGTAAGGAACCTGATTTAAATACGAAGCACATCCAAATCAGCAATTAATTTCGTTGTTTTTCCCTCCACTGACATGTTTCCCTAGCTTTCCATTTTTTTTCTTCTTTTTCAACGATAGATAACAGAAACGTTTTTTCATACGTGAAAAATTTATATGCAATCGTTACGAAATGCGGTAAACGGCAATCAACAATATCGAGGGTGGATGAAGAAATTTTTGCTATTTCGTTAAAATTGAAGAAGGAGAAAAAAATTGCTTGCCACTCATCTCAGGGCTATTGATTGTACGGAGTGAAAGACACAACAAACAAGTGAAATAACAAAAACAAAATTAAAATTCTTTATCGTCAATAAACGGAGGAGAGAATGGGAAAGAAAGAAGGAGAGAGATGAGCTTGATATCGAAGCTATTTATTAATTTGGTCACATTTCAAGTTATCGCTTCGTTTTCCCCTCGTCCCTTTTCATTCGAGAGTTCTTTTTTTAAAAAGGAAAAAAAAACTTTTACTTCCCTTTCTCCTTTTAAATATTGGTAGTAGAAATTCGACTTTTTGTCATGGGGCGACTCAATTGAAAATTGCGCCCATCCGCAGAAAATTTTCCATTCTCGTTTGTTGATAAAAACAGCAACATCAATGTCGACTGGAGGGTTCATCGAGAGTGTCACAGTTCAACAGGTGCATTCGATATGATGTTAAAATACGAACAGATCATCGATTCATTGCACGTCATTATCGAACACTTCCCAAAACGTCAAAATAAAAAATCAAGTCACGTGAATACGATGAACATGAATGTTTGTTCTGAGAGAAAGAGATGGAACGAAAAAAAAGAAAAAAAAAACGAAATCGTCTGAATTACGAGTTTAAGAAAAGAATTGTGTTTGTGTTTTCACATTCTTCACTTCGCTCCTTCTTCCGCATCAACTAGTACATACCATAGTGATTTGAAATGAGGCAATTTTAATGAAAAATTCAAGGGTTGCAATTTTCGTGTGCACACACAAGCGACATGATCATTGAAGGGAATTCGATTGACGTGTTTGGCTTCTGTTGGTGACTCAACATTCCTTCTCTTTATCTATCAATGCAGTGGAAATAGATGGTAAAAGGCAAATAGCATATTAGACTATCAATGGAAAATACGAAAGAAATGAAATTTGTATTCTGGAAACAAAACTTTCTTTCCTGATTCCGATGTTGATGCTTCAAACTCTTTTTTCTCGTCGTTTTCATACTCATATGTTATATTTGTGTGTGTGTTGCTTGCGTTTGCTTTATTTTTCATCTTATCTGATATACTTTTTTTTCTTATTTTTTTAATATAAAGAAAAACTTTATAAAATCAATGTTCAGAGGGGAAAGATGGAAGATTTCATTGAACACACGACATCGAGAATCTGAAAAGTTTACTTGCAATTGTGACATCTGCTTCTTTACTCTTTCATCGTTCTTTCATAACTTGTACACTCTCGTCACAAACAATGATGTAAACTGAGCTTTAAAGAAACAAATAACATGATTTAAGAGTTGCCAGAGGCTGGGATGACTTTAAAAATCATTCAAGAAACATCACACAGAAGAATTTCTGCGTTTTGTAAATTTTATTTAAATTTAATTTTCATAATCAGACCAAATATTTATCAACATAAAATAAATGCTTGCAGCATACATTTTATAATCTGAAAGAAAAAAGAAATTATGAAGTTCATTCTCATCCAATTTTTGCAAAACCAAAATCATAACTGCATTAACTAACAACAAATCCATGCAGCCATTTTAAAAGCGTAAAATATTTTAATTAAGTTTTTAATCTCGCATTGAGTGTTTGAGGAAAAATGAGGAAAAAAATTATTTTTTAGATAAAATTAAAATGTAAATCTATGAACGCGGAAAACTCAGCAAACGATTCATTACAATTCTAATTTTATGCAGTTATTCACTTCAAAATTTTCCACATTATTTTAGCGCATTTCATTTCCTTCAATTTTGAGTGCAGCTTGAATAAAATATGGAATTGAATTCAAACTTTGAACAGATCTACATTTAGATCGGAGTGTTTTTAAATCAATATTTAAGGTGCTCGATTAATTGAATTTTCCATTGAGATAAAGTGTTCGTAGTCAGAGTTTAATGATTTTAAATCCTACTGAAGAAACATTCACTTCAGATCTTAAATAATCTTTCGGATCGATCTCAGCGTTTTCGCTTATCTATAACAACAAAATTCACTTCCTCTGAAATATAATAAAATAGAGAAAAAAAGGGAAAACTTCATCCCGTTTATCGATTTCAGTCTCAACATAATCGATGACGCCAATTCCCTAAGTTGCCGTTATTTGTCAGTCTCGAAAACAATCCAATATGTTGCGTTGCTTTCGCATCAAATACACGAGTCTCTTGATAAATTCAACAAGCTTCGCTTGAATTGCGAATAGAAATAAATTGGAGAGGTTTCAAACGTGGGTGTGTGTAACAGGTAACAAATTTAGATCAAACTCAACCAAGCAATGTTTTCATCTTGTTGAGCTACGCGTAAGTATATGTCGCTTATTCCGTTAGACAAACAGTTTTAGAAACATCAACATCAGTCTCAACTCTCAACAAAATCCCAATGATCCATACGAGTGTTGAGTGCGACAACAAAGAGACAGAGAGTTGGAGTTCTGTTCTCCAATCTGCGGTCTTTAAACGTTCAAAATCGAAACTCTTTTGTTTCCTCTATCGAAAAACTTCTCACATTGTCATAAAATTGATTCCACATTTCCTCCTTTCCTTGTGATTCCATAGGCATTCGACACTCGACACTCGGCAGTAACATTTTTCACCATAACATTTCTTTTAAGTCTCTTCAGGAAAATTGCGCAAGAGGAGAAAAATTCCGAAATTCTGTAAGCAGATTAAACGAAGCACAACAACAATATGACAAGTACGTAAATATGCAAATTGTAAATTTATTCCCCCTCATATTTTTTCGGCGTTTGTGATAACATTTTCCGCTGATATCTCTTCTCTCTTTCATCTCCCTTCCTTTTGCTTTCGCTGCCATTTGGTGCCGCGCTTTTATGGTGAAAAGCATTTGCGAAAAAAGGTAAAAGTGAAATTCGCTTAATATTGCTCGCTAAAAATTGAAATAAAATTAAAATTTACTGGCGAAATTTATGTCGTTACTTTATTTACGAACCAAACTCGATAAAGTTTTGTTTGAGGGGGAAGAAAAAGAAAGTCAAGGAAAGCAGTGACACATTTTTTAACACCAAATTCGCACAATTTGATTTTCACATCGTGACGAAGAAGGAAGAGAAACTCTTTCAATTTAAATTCAGATTTTTTTTATCTCTCACATAAAACTTTTGAATTTAAAGCCTAATCATGTGACAAATAATTAAGCATTAGCTTTGAATAAATAATCTGATTTGATCGTTAAGTGGAATGAGGAAATTGAGAGTTTCATCGATGAAAATGTTTATCATTAATTTTTCTTTTTTAAACTTGAACCATGAACGGATTTCATGAAATCTTCCAAGAAAGTTTCTCTTCATTTTAAATCAAAGTTTTAAGCAGAACTCATCAAGTTATTAACCATTAAAAAAATACAAAATCCCATAAAAGTCTGAAAAAGGGAAACCCGACTTTAACTTCTCTAATTACTTCGATTTCAATTAAAACTTCTCAATGGATTCCAGATGTTCATTCCAAAAAAGAAAGACGAGAATCATAAAACTTCTCCACACAAATTCTATTGATCCCTTATAATAATTGTTTTCCACAAGCACTTGAGTGCCGCAATTGTTCTCATCTATTGACTCAGAAGTCTTACTTGAAGAACGAAAGGCAAAATAATAATAAATAAAATATAAAATCCCTGTTGATTCTCGTGGTTTCCCCTCAAACTCAGTCTGTATACATTGGAAGGGAGAAAACAAGAAAAAAACGTCACAATAATATGATCAACAAACAAGGTTCTTTCGTTTCTAAAATAAGTAGAGCGACCCAATATTAACCTGTTGCTTTACAATCTTTTCTCGTCTCAGAATTTTCGGTTCCTGTGTTATTTTCTTCTTCCTGCGTCGCGTCTCATATTTTCATTAAATTTCCTTATGAACTTCTTTTTTTTCTTCCTTTCTCTTCTTTTAATATTTGGAGACGCCTCGGAAAGAAGAAGAAGGGTGGAGGGCAATATTTTTATTAACAATTTGTGTCTAGAAAATTTAGGAAAGAAAACCCTTTTCAATTCGTAAAAAATGAAAGATGAAAATTGGCCCAAAATGATGATGATGACGAAGGCTCAATTAGATCGCGAATTCCATTTTCAAACTTACTTTAAAATGCCGAAATAAATTAATCGTTAACTCTCTCAGTCGCTAAAGGGAGAAGCAACAAATGACAAATGACAAATGAATAAAAAATTTAACGTTAATTGAAAAAGAGAAAAAGAAAAGTTTCCTTCATCAGGGAAGTTGATGTCAGCAGATATTCTTTGTAAAGTTGTTAATTGTAAAATCGGTAGAAGAAAAAGAAGGAATGAAGTTAATATGTCTTGTAGAAGATGCCCTCAAGTTCCACATATTTGTGAGAAACACGTATTTATTTTATTGGCATTCACACTAATGTAGTAACACAATAAACACGAACAAGAAAGAAAGTAAAAAAATCAGAAGAAATGAGGAATTATTTATGTGCTGTTTCCTTCCGTTTTCTTTTTCTTTCACTTTAACTATCAATCCGCACGTCATGAGATGCTTCCCTGAGATAATTTCAAATCGAAGTCGAATCTCTGATAGAATCCATTAAGCAGGAGGTGAATTGAATCAGTGACCCAATTTCCCCCTCACTTATTCACATCCATTTCAATCTCGCATCGAGTTTGCTTTGCAATGTTTTATCAATTAATATCAAATTCCCATTTTCTTCAACTCTGATGAGAATGAGATCTTAATTCACGTTAATTTCCATTAAGCAAAGAGATTGCCAAAATTTTCAAGTGCTTTTCGAGTCTTGATTTTTATCAAGAATTTATTTCAGTTTTGGGCAAGTTTCGATTATCTAAGAATAGATGAAAGGGGAGAGAATGAGAATGAGACGCTTAAATTGCTATTTATTTCAACGCGTTTGTTTACTTTTTTTCTACCTACTTCATCCCGATATTGATACTGATATTGAGCCCATTTATGTGATGAGGGCGAAGGCCAAATTAATACAAAGACACGAACAAAGAGGGCAAAGGAAAATCTTGACCTTTTCCCAATCGATAACGAAACAACAACTACACAAAAGGAAGAGAAAGGAATGAGAATGCATTACATTAACACTCACTTTGCGTTCGCTTAGATTTCCTTGTCTTGATTTTTACGTGCGTAGTGCCAATAAATTTAGACTTTTCTCTCTTCCGTATCGGCTAAGATATATCGTCTTTTTTCTCGACGCCCCTTCTCTTGCTTATTCACACACGTTTCCCATTTAAAAAAAAAGAGGTGCCTTCGAACACATTTTATTAGATTCACCATCTGATGACCGAAGCCTTTCATTCTTTCTTTATTTCTCCCCCTTTTTATACTCGGATATTTATATTCGAACACTGAGCGTATATTGGAAACGTCGTCGTATCAAAGTGAAAGCATTTAAAAGGCGGGAAATGAAAACCAAAAATAGAAAGAAATCAAAGTTTCAGAGAAATTTTCACTTAAAATTTATTTTCTTTCCGTTCGAAGATCTCAACTCTGATATCACTGATATTTAAAAGCTTTCCGTTTCCTCAAAGCTCAATGCTTTCTACGAGAAACGAGAAATGGGAATGTACATTATCTCAATGGATGAATCAAGGGCAGATTTTCATTTTACAATTTTCTTGAAATTCTTGCATGCGTGCAGTATAAATTGAGATTCCGACTTCTTCTTTCGCTTGTGAAGTCAATTAAAAATTAATGGATAACAGCTTGTTATCCTATTGTAAAATATGTGTAAAGCATGTCTAGTGGGAAATTGAAGCGAGAATACTTTGAAGCATTTAAAACATTCAGCTGTGCGTGCCCAGCAAAGAACAATGAAAAGCTTTACACTCGACTTCCGGTTAACAATGAAAAGTAATTTGTAATTTAAAGTAGAATTTCAAATTTTTTTCCCTTTTCCAAGAATTACATTTTTAATTTTTTGAAAATGTGAAAATTGTATGGAAACGTTGCGTAACGATATGAATATTCAATTATTTTTCACTCGTTCTTAGTGTGAATAATGAGGATAAATTGTGAATATTATGCGATTACAATCGCTCGCTTTTTTTTTCTTCCTTCTTCCTTTCTCGCATTCAACTCAAAGTGTGTAATTTATGCAAAATTAATTCATTAACAATAATGTTGATTAAGTTTTCACTCGTCGGCATTAGAGAGAAGTCTGTTTTCATTTAAAACTTCTTATGTTATAAAAAGAAATTTCAATAATCCTTAAAAAAATTATAACATTTGCCTACAGAATATTCTCAAGCTGTTAATTGTGAATGAATGAAACATTTTATTTAATTCATTTTTATTGTTATTTTTCCTTAATTGGCGCAATAACTGTGTTCGTATTGCAAAATTCAATTAAATCTCATTAAAGAAATGTTAATCTGAAGTATCGTTTATGTCTCCAAGAGGCTCTGCAGTGCAATTTCTTTCATTTCTTATGCAAAATTACGAAAGATTTCGAGAATCTTCGTTATCATTGCTGAACTCAAGAGCAATTAATTAAACGCTAATGCTGACAAAAGAAGGAAGAAAAAAAGCACTTCAATGCTATTTCCAACTGACATTTAATTAATGAAAAGGATTTTTTCTCTCTCCTATATTCAAACAGTTTTCCCGTCGTCTTTTGTGTTTGTAAAAATTAAAAAAAATGAAGCCACATAATTTTGTTCTCTGTTCATTCGTCCACTGACTGATAAATAAAAAGAAGAAGAATGAATGAAAAACTCTCATCAGTGTCATTTAGATTGATATTTTTTATGTTAATGGTGAAAACGACGAGAGCAGCTCGCCTCTGCCTCAACGATTGTTATTCCGGCATAACTTTTCTATTTTGTTTTTGCTTCATTATCTCTGTTTATGCACCCTTGAATTCGCTTTTCTCTTTCCCTTCAACTTACAAAACAAAACATAAAACAGCTCCGCTGCCGCCACCACCGCAATAAGACCGCAAAGAATTGGCAAAATTAAAAAAGCAGCCAGATATTTACAGAGAGGAAAAACCGCAGCATAATTCCAACGGTTTGAAACACAATAAAAACAATAATGTTTTTTCATTTTTATTTTATTCTCCTTTCGGGGGCGCGTGGAATTCTGCGGAAATTGTTTGAAAGTTTGATTGGAAACAGACGTTTCTGTATTTTCTTTCATTTCTTTTGTATCTTCTTTGCTCCCTCGAAGAGCAAAAGCCAAATGGAATTATGTTCAATGGCAGATTTTTCATTTGTTGATTTTATTATTTACTTTTTTTACTGAGAAATTTGCCAAGAAGCAGCTATTCGTTAATAACAATGAGACTGTGAAATGACGATTGCGTTATTCTACGCAACCCACCAACTGATGCTCAACTTCCAGCTTCTCTCCTCAACAAACTTGAAGAAACTTATAATGATCTTTCCAAAGAAGCAATTTAGCAAACTCAGATAATAAAAGAATGCCTCGAGTTTCTTTTTTTTCTAATGATAACATTTTTACTTTTGCCTTTCTTTTCTACTGCATAAAATTTTAACTTGAAACGCACAACAAGTTGGAAATTGTAGAATTCCTAGAGATTGGAGAAAATCTTTTTTTCTGTTTCTATTCAACCGTGATTTTAGTTGACTTTGAAGTGCAGATTACAGGAGAATTCGGTAGCAATCGACCCTTCAAAAACCCTCATCAAAATTTTCTACGAGCTTCCATTTAATTTCATTTTTAAATAAATTCAGAAAACTTTTCACAAAGTCGTCATTTTATAAATTTTTTCAATTATTTGTTGCCAATTTTCGCTGGTTTATTTTGTTATGTTGATTTAGAGATTTCTTTTGAATGTAAAGATGAAAGCTGTGTTACCAAACTGACGTTTTTCATTACGAAAGAGAAGAAAGGAAAAGTCACAGTTGAAGAGAATTTAGCGATTTTCCTATAAATCATAACTCTGACTTTTTAATTATATTTCACAAAGAAAAATCACAAGCATAGAAATTGAGAGTCAAGACAGAAGAAAATAAGGATAGGAAAAGCGCTTCAAACAATTTCGTAAGAAGAATAAAAGAAGGGATTTTGACACTTTTCAATTCCAACGTAGGAAAGAAGAATAAAAGCAAAGAAACCCATCAAAAATATACTTTCAAGAGCGTATTGTACGCAAGCAACAAGTTGATAGAAGTTATCGTGAAATAAGAGAAGGAAAAAATCTTTAAAACAAAATTTCTTATGACAGAACATGAAAAAATAAAGAAAGAAGGAAAATTTTTCCTGTTAGCTTTAAACGCGATAAAGAAAAACGGAAGCAACAGCGGAATAAGACATTTCGAAGAGTGATCAAAAATTGGAACATCAAACAAGACCGACAGCAGCCCTACGATATATAATACATTTAATGGCAATTTATTGATTTCTTATCTTACAAGAAATTAAATTGATGGATGGCAAGACATTCGAGAAGATACGAATCGATAAATGGTCGACCCAAACTCTGACGCAGAATAAGAGATGGTTTTAATACACTTGAGCACGTTCAATTATTACAACAAGTTGCGACTGGTTGCGTCTGAATGCTGTTGCTAAACATTACTGTTGGCTCTTCTTATACTTATAAATATAAAACATAAATGTTGAGAGATACTTTAGTGAAAATTTTCCGTTCAAGTATTTTCCACCTTATAAATATTTCCGCCCTTTCATCGATTCTCATCCATCCATCCCCAAGACAGAAGAAAGAAGGAAAATTTAAGGAAGAAAATCTGTTGAGATGTAAAATTTGCATGATAATAGACAAAAATTATCCTACAATATTAATTAAATTTCCTTTTTATTAATTTAACTTCCCAATCACGAGCGTGAAAAATCTTGAAGCCACTAATTGATGAATTAATTAAAATGGCAGAAGATCGCTTTTGTTTTCGTGTAAAAGTTCAGTCATTATTTTAATTGTTTACCTTGAGATAGATAATCTGGAGAATATCTCCGCAACCAACATCACCACTCGTGAAATTCCAAAACAAACAAATTTCAATGAGATCCTGAAATCATCTCAAATCCCGTGCTTTATTTATTCCATCATCATCATTGTCGTTGGTAATACGTCCATAAACAATTGAAAATCCATCAACATTATACAATATTGAAAGTCGTCTTCATTTTTATTGGACGATGATTGTCAGTCGTTTTCGTTTCGTTCGCTTTTCTACCTACATGAAATTGCGAATAAATCGACAATCTACATAAACAATAATGGCATTTTTTTTTGCTGTTCTGTGTTCTTCATCTCTCAACAATGAAATATAGACTCACTCGAACAATTCATTTCTTTTTTGTGTGCGTTGTGTGCTATTAAAACGGATTCATAAATCGTTGAACAGTGAATAAAGAATTATATTGACTTCTGGACGAGAACGAGAGGTTTATGGAGATTTGATTTCGCTTTTCCTCCGAGTGAGAATGTTGTTGTGGTGTGTATGAGATAATAAAACGTTTAACAGCAATCAACGAGAGAAAAATAATCGAGTTTTTGCTGATAGCAGACGACGATGAGTTCCATTAGAAGAAAAGTCAAGAGATATATACAATGTCTAAATGAAGAGAATGTTTGCGTCTTGAAGCTTGAGATTGACTAATAAAAGCTTTCTCAAGAAGCACCCAGTGAGAAATTTAATGGAAATGATGAGAGTTATGTAGTCAGTGCTAATCACCAAGTCATTAAACAGCTGGGTGCAAAGTCTTGTTGAAAAATAAAAAGAAAGAGAATGAAATGTGAAAGTTATAGTCGTCGTCAGTGCAGGATGGAAACGACTTGATATCGCTTATAAACAACCAACAAATTGCGAAAAGCTGATCAAATTTCTTTATGAAGATGCGCGATGCTTACTTATAGATAAATATTTATTGAAGGAAAATATATATAAAGAAAGCATCACACCACAAATGAGTCTTGAATCTTCTTCATTGTCTAAACAATCGATTTAAACAAAGAATCGACAATTGAGTGCAATGAATATCCGATTCGATAGTATCGAAGCATCCTTTAGAAATTCGATCGATATTCAAAGCCTTCAAACAATTGAGTGAAAGAGTAGCTTTCACACGTTCAAATAATTGATAGATTTAGCAACAAGGAATGTCAATTGTCGATTGAGAAAATTCGTTTCCTAAAATTCACTCGAACTTCCATTGTGATTGTTGAGCTTTGCTTTACATTCAATTGAGATAAGTGATTGGAGATAAATTCCGAAATTTGATATAAAAAGAACTACAATAAAGATAATATTTATATTTAAAGGGAAGAAAAAAGAAAGAAAGAAAATCTTTGAGATGTAAAAATGAAGCTTTGCCGACATTACTCGCTGAAAAATCTCAAAAATGATTCCGATGAAAGATTAAAGGAATTTCATATGTGAACGAACCTTTTTCTTCTTTTCTGTTTACACGACTGTCTGAAGTCTGAAGTGAGTGAGTGAGTGAGTGAGTGACTCAATCTCACAAAAGAACCGAACAGAAGAAAAACGAATTTATTGAATTTCCTCAGATCATCACATTGAGAATTGTTGAACTTTTCATCTCTCTTAAATAAGGAAGCAAAAGGCAATGATTATTGTCTAATGTGCTAGAATTATTTATGATGTGCACAGTATGTGAAGTATCATTCATTCAGTGACTCTTTCGCAACTATAAAGCCAATGATTGTGATATTTTTATTTTGCACTTGACTTCACTTTGAAGGAAAGAAAAAAAAAAGAATGAAGCGATTCTCAATTCAGAGTTTACTTGGAAGAAGAATAAAGAAAAGTTATCGAAAATCTTTAAAATTTCCATTCAATTTGCTACGCTTCTCCTACTTCGATTGCCAGCATTTTTAATGGCTTTATTTTGGGCGATAAAGGAAAGGAAAGGAAAAGCAATTCAATTCTGCAAAGATATCTGATCATGAAACAGAATTATTGCAGCATGAAGCAATTTAATCCATTTCCACGACCGAGACCGCCCATAAATGCCACTTTTCCCCACTTTAATATCGAACGCATTTTAAATTCACTTCCCTCTATCAACCAAATGCCAATGCAGCATTGAAAGAACAACAAAAAGAAGCTTTTCTTCCTGTTCCACTTTTTTTTTTACTTGCTTCCTTTTTATGAGATGTGTGATTGTTGGAAATCAATTGACTCACAAATTTTTATTGTTTTCCTTTCTCTGACATTAAAAACAAATAAAAAAAATCGAAAGACGATACGTTAAAGAACATAATCGTTAAATTTTAATTTTAAATTGAATTGTGATTTTGATATATTAAGGGGGAGAAAAGTAACAGCACACGATACAAGAGAAATTTGGTTTAACTTACATAAACATAAAGTGATTGGAAAAGATTCTCAACATCAAATTCAAGCAATCAATTTTTACATCTTATGGGAAATAAAAGGAAATAATTTTTTTGAAAGCTTTCTTCGTCGCTTGTTCGGTTGTCGAGAAAACAAGAGAAAAAGTTTATTTTGGCGCTTTCTATTTAATGAGAAAAGAAAACTCGATGTGGTCAACATTCAGTGAGAAGAACAGAAAGAATTTGTTTTTATTTACCGCTTCGAGGCTTCCCCTCATTTGACAAAGCCTCTGACAAGAAAGAAGCATGAAAGTTCAAAAGAGCATAAGGAAATGAAGCAAGGAAAGTTTTTCTAACTTCTAACCATCGATTCGTTTTCCCTTCTTCTTCTATTTTGAATTGAAACATTAAATTGTGAAATGAATCGTGAAATTCCATTTTTGAAGTCAAGTTTTCTTCTATTTTTTAAAGGAAAAAAGAAACTTTCGTTGTCATTTCGCAACATTTCGCTTTGAATTTTTATTAACACATTTTCCTTCTTCATTTTTATGATCGCTTTTTTTTCATCGCGATTTTCGTCGAATGGAAATTTCTTTCCATCTCGTAGATACTTTGCTTGAATTTTACAGTAAATCGTCGAGAGTAAAAGAAGAAGAAAAAAATCTGTCAAATGTGAATTCATAATCTAAGTATTAAATCTAATTTATTTTGATGGATCAGTTTTGATGGCGATATTTTGTCGTAAAAGCGAAGGAGAAGAATAACATTTGAAAGTCGATAATCTCATGCTTTGGCATACATTTCACTCAGTGACTCTTTGAAAGCCGTCTTCTCACATTTCTTTAAACCGATTTATATTTTCTCCGCTGTTAGATGTTTAATAAAAATTGAATAACATTATGGATGGAAAAAGAAATCTTTGATAATAAAATCAACTTGGAGAAGTGCGCACAAGTGTCAAACACTTTATTTTTCAGGGTGCTTTGGCTTTTTTGATAGAATCACGAAGATCTTATGATTTGATGGCAACTTCGTCGTCATCATCATGGAATGTTGTGATGATAAGAATTGAAAGTGAAAGTGCCTTTAACCCTCCCGAAAATATTTTCCGATTAAACTTTTATTGACATCAATAAATTCATATTGCGAGATTCATAAATCTGAAAACTGTTTTACATTGAGACGAGAAAACTAAACTAAGCGTGCGACATCATACAGAAAGTTTTATGAAACCAATAAATTTAAATTCTTTGGTATAAATATAGCTTCTTGTGGCATGTCACTTTATAAGATGCAGTAAAGTGTAAGACGGAATGTTATGTCGTTAACATACATAATGCATCATATTTCTCGAGTAACATCGAATAAGAAGAAAGGGAAATAAACGAGAAAAACACAAGAAGAAGTTGAAGGAAAGTGAGGCGAAGCTACTACAATGTGTAAAGATTGTTTGTTTTTCTCCAACACGAGCCACAAAAACATCTTTCAAAGATGATAAAAGCACATAAAATTGATGTAATATATCATGTAAGATGAAAATAGATGGGGAAGCAGGTCATAAAGTATCAGTTGCTGACATTATTTGAAGCGATTTTAACTTTCTTTTATTTTTTGCATGACAGTGAAGTAGCATGCAACATGATTCACGATCGAATTTACTACACAACATCACTGGTGAATGTATATAATCATCGAACAATCAAGATTCGTTTTGAGGGAGAAAAACGAACATATTTCTAACTTATTGACACATTTATTTGAATAAATTTCTGACAAATCAAAATAATGTCGAAGCGGGAGTGGAACTTTCCTCCAATTCCCGATGGTCTACTTTCCCTGATTTTCTTTATTTTCCTTTCCTTTCTCTTCGTCTTCTTTTTTCCTCTCATCGAAAGATATTTATGGGGAAAAAATTAAACTTTCTCAAACACACATAAATAAAAGCGAGTCATCAATATGCGAAGGCGAGAAGAAAATTTGTGCTTCTTTTTAACATATCATCTTTTCTTTTGATTTGTTACTTCTTTTTCCTATTTTCTTCTCCATTGTGAAACGCAATAAATTTTCGTTTCATATCGAATAAATATTCAAGATATTGAACAACCATCCAACATCAAATCTTCAGTAGACATCATATGAAGACATAAACATCAATGGTGAATAAAACAAAGGATTCTCATGTCCCAACCACGCACTTATGATTGGCAATTGGAAAATTTTGTATCGTTTGGTGTTGAATTTATTGCGATTCATATTGATTGAAATCTTTTGACTGCGGTTGATGTGTGGAAATTGTTGAAATATTTCTCAGAAACTTGCAAATAAATACTTTGTGCATGCTTCATGGATTTCAAGATTTTTGACGTTCGTTTAAGGATTTTCATTTGCTTCTTTGCTCAAATGCTTTGTGCTTTGCATTGTGTCATATCATGCAATGGTTTATGCAAGCAAGTGAACAACAACATGAAACAAATTACCTCGCTGGTCACGGAATATCGTTGATTGTTTATTTTGTCATGTCTTGCTTATGCCTTCTGCAGAAAGGAATAAACCGAGGAGATGTAGAGAGACTTGTTTGCATAAGTGAATGCTATGCTTACGCCATTTTACCATAAATTTTGTGAGCATGCAAAAAACATCTAAATGAATAAATTGATGTTCAAATAGTGACTGCGAAAAGTTTAAAATGTTGATATAGGGCTCGTTGAAGCTGAGATACAAGAGGGCGACAGACGACGTTTTACAGAAAGATCTAAATTTATTTAACATCTGTGCGATGTAGAGCAGCAGCAGCATCAGCAACTCGGATGAGAAGAAGTAGTAGATATGTAGAACGAAACGCAATCACACAAAAAGCTTTGTTCGAAAATCGAATCGCAAACTAAAAATTTCCTGTTTTCACGCTACGTGATTCAAAATATTTTCGTACGTGATTTAAATGTTCTTGTATTTTCGTAAAATTTTTCGTTGCTGAAAGCAAAACGAATTCTTGTACACATCGTTGTTATCAATGCAGAAGTCAGGATACCTAAAATTTTCATTCTACATCTCCTTCTTTCCCGCTGTTTGTCGCTGACGAGCGAGACATTGCAAACGTAAATATTTATTCCGTTGATGAACAGATCTTTGCATTGTATGTATGTACAAATCTAGTTGATCTGATGATTTCTATGATTTTTCAGCTTTTCTTCTTTTTTCACTGATGAGCGACGTGATCTAGTCAAATTTTCGGTAAATATTTAATCTCAAATTGAAACTTTTCAATTTCTTTGTTTTAGCTTCCAAAAATTAAGCAAGAAAAGTTTCACAATTTTATAGTCAAACACCTTTCTAAGCAACAATTAGTTGTCATTAAAAGTTTTTCCTCTCAAATAATCCCTCTTAAGTATAAACGCTTCTCGTTCCATAAAACAAAATCCGTTTTCAGTTAAAAGTCATGGCTTCTTAAGCTGAAGAACAAAAAGAAAAGAAGTTATGACAAGCACAAAAAAGAAAGATTCAAAATCACAAGAGAGCACTTAACCGAACGAACCAAAAGGTTTTGTTTTGCATTCACAATTAAGTCGAAGGCATTGAGAAGGCAATTGAGAAAACAAAACACAGAAAAACAGCTAAAACAAAAAATAAATCGCTTAAATGATGTATTCAAATCATGGGCCGCAAATTTGAAACAACATTGTAGGAGCAGGAAGGAAAACTTCTCCCTTTGCAAGATAACCGAGATCCTTATCAAAGCGAATCTTTCTTACGAGCTCTTTGGAGAGTTGCTCTAAAGTGTTGCAGAAGGAAAAAAAAAGATGAAATGACGCGGGTGTGTACGAAAAAAGGAAAGGGGCGCGAATAAGAAGCGAACATTAGAATTATCTGCCATAAAAAATGTATTGCGCGATTTATTTCAGATGAGATTTTTCCGCTTTTCACTGCCTTGTGAAAAGTCGTTAAAAGTGAAGAAAGAAAAAAGAAATGGAAAATTCTTGTTCGCACTCATGTCGGCGCTCGTCATGGAGAGTAGCGAAATAATGAATTTTTAATAACAAAATTATAACACATCTCAGTCATAATTTCTCTATCTTCATAACATTGGCAGTGAGGATGATTCTTCAGAGTGGCAATAATCATATTGTTGTTCGTTGTTCCACGCCTTCTGACTGTTGCCTTGAATTTTTATCATAAAAAGAATCATGTGATGAATATAGATGAGGCACGTATCTCTCAAGTGTGTATGTTTTCACTGCCGTTTTGTGCGGTTTTTTGATTTATTTAATTTCTTTTATTTTCCACTTTTAAGAAGTTTGACTTTGGTATAGCAGGGATGAAAAGTTTTCTGCTGGGAATCATTCCCTAAATACTGCTCTCGTTCTTCCCTTCGATCACGAATGAATCTCATTCGCATGTTCGATCGACACGAATAAAAAATGAAACGTACGCAATCACGAATCACGAGAATTCAAGAAGCGCACAAACACACACACACACAAAAAGATATTAAATTGAAAGTCGTAAAAAACAGTTACAGATTTTCAATTTATTTCCAATTACATTTCGCCTTTCTCCTGGGTGTTTTTCGCAAATCTGTTCTTTTTTTCCTACGACGACCAAAGCGAAATGAGTTAAAGTTGAACAGGCAAAAAGTGTGTAAATGTGGCTTGTTACCCTCAGAACAACGTCAAGATCCAATAAAATTATTTATTGCTTTTCGATTTGTGAGATTTCTTTGATTACAATTCTCACATTTCAATTATTATCTTTTTCTTCTTTATCATCCAATTTTCTCAGATGTCCACACTCGGGAGACGATTATTGGCTTCGGGGTTCAAAATAAGTTTTATTTGTTCTCTTTCTTGCTTTTTTACGTCGTAAAATGTAAACCTATAAACATAAGCTGACTTAAGTTGGAAGATTGCATTCGGTCACAGCAGTCTTCACTCCTTTCATTTTTTTTTTTCATTTCATTTGATGGTAACAAGTGCAGGGCACAATAACCCAAAACCTATCGAAATTTTATCGTGCTATGGTGCTGGAACTCTCCAGATAATAGCATTACAAGCAGTAGAGAGAAATAACTTTTCTTCGATTTATCGGAAAGTTCTGCTTTGCAAAGCCATCTCATTCATCTCTGTGACCTTTCATTGTGTCCCACATTGATTTATTTATTTTCCAAAGTCTTTTAATTTTTTTTTGGCTGTCGAAAAGATTTGCTTTTTGATGATAAGAAAGGTCATGAGAGGAAAAGTTTAAAAATAAATCTGTTGAATCTGATGGTTGTTGTGAAAGAAGAAGCAATTTCAGAGATGAGACGAGAATTTGATCAAGAAAATGATTTCGTCTCTACAAAACAATGTGAATGTAGGAATGGCAATCAATTCTGTGGAGAGTCTTCAATAGTGAATCACTTAATCGTTTTTCATATGAGAACTCTATGAACGATATTGTTAGAACAAATAATCTTCAAGCGGTTTGCCTCAAGCGAAACATTCTTCGATTAAATTCCCCAACGGTCTTGTTTCATACCATTCGAATGTTTATGTGTTTATGTTACAGATATCAGAAGAAAAAGTATTTTATTTTTTATTTTTTATATTTCTCATCGTTATGTCAAAAGCAAGCAACAAGAGTGGATCGGATTTTAAAAGCGATTGCAGAGAATATATCAACGAACAGTAAAATGAAAGGGAATAATTCTAGATCATAGCGTTATCGAACTCAAAAGAAGTAGATACTAAAATCATTTTATTTTGAGGCGGAATTGAGGAGCGCATAAAATATTCTAGTAGAAGAAAATTCTCATTTTCATTTTATTGCAAAACTGTAAATCCCATCAATGAAAAACGGGGGCAAAAAATATCTTCAATGATTCGAATTGATAAAAAAGAAGAAGAAGAAAATACCATCAAAGATGTATCAAAGTCAAATGTTGTTGATGTTGATGTTAAAATCCAAAAAAGTGTAAAATTTTTAAATTCTTGCTTTGATTCGTAACAAACAAATATGTGCTTTAACTCAAATCGTTACTCGTATCAAAATCAGTCATAAATTGCTCGAATTACAACTTTTGTAAACCTTCAATCGTTTTGTGGTAAAAATTTTATTACTTTTTTGATGTTTCGTAAGGAAAAAAAGAAACATTTTTATCTCATTTCTTTTACAACAAAAACTTTGAGAAGAAAGTTAATTTCCACCAATAGATGTTGTTCTCGTCGAATGATGGGAGTGAATTACATCCGCAAAGAATGAAAATTTATCATTAATTGTCGTTTTGTTTGACTGAAATCTACCGCAATAAAATGTTGATGGTACATCACACGAACGTGGCGCGGCTTACTTCCCTCCACCTTTTAAAATCCGAGCCTTTTTATGATGGGCAATGATTTATAATGTTTTTGAAAATGTGCTTGTTACCATTTCCGCCTTGCAGAAAACAACAAAAAATGTGAGAGAGAACACACAAAAGGGATCTCCATTCGCCTATTCCCAACCATCCTGTTTATTGTACTTTTGATGATATAAAAAATTTTATTTCATTTTTATTTTTTCGCACTATATACACAAACATATCATTTATGTTCGAAATCATAAAAGACCGCTCACATTTTTGCAGCGCTCTACGGTCATAAGGGCTGAAACGAGCAGTTAAAACATGCGATATAAAGACATTATAATGTGCTTGGAAGTTGTTCATCTTTATTTAGTTGAGTCGAATGTTGAAACCTTTCTATTGTCATCATCAAACATATCTCGAGGGGTGACTCGTCCTTTTGCAAACATTAAGCATTAAGCAACAAGGTGAGAATTTGTGTCTCGTTTCGCTTTTCTTTTTTTGATTCCCTCGCACACAGTTTTTTTAGCTGAAACCAGCAGGATTTTTACGGCCTTTAATTATGACGACATGAACGTATTAAAGTGAAGAACGAGCCAATAAAAGATTTGACGTTTGACTAAGAGGCGACTGGTTGAAAGAACAGGCGAATTTATTGCCATTAGCGCAAGAGCTTCTTTTATGGCCTGACCAGGAGTGGCCTTAAAGTTTTTTGACGTTGAAATTTCTATTTCAAAAATAGTTCTTTAAAGCTTTCAATGAATTCTGTTCTTGTTGTTTCTTAAACTTCAACAACATTAATTAAAATGACATGAACGTCACTCATATTCCATTCAAGACACATAAATTTGATGATAGAACATAGAAACTGCGTTTGTCAATTGTCATATCAAATTCATGCCACTTCATTGGCGTTCAAATATGATAAGCACTTAATCCGTTCAGATTAAGTTTCTGAATGGATATTTGTCTTTCATGTTGATTTTGCCATTGAGATTTTAGAATTTCACCAACAAATATCGACTTATGATGCGATCATTTACAAAAACATAAACGAAACATTGAAATTTTGAAATAAAAACAAATATTTGAATTGGCTTTCAATTATCAATAAATTTCAATTGAATCAGAAGAAATAATTATAAATATTTTTAATCTTATTGAATAAACATCAAATTATGATTTTCAGTGGCGACGATAATTGACTTCAAAAGCTTAAAAAATTAATTCTGTATTGCATTTTCCCATCGTAGATATAATAAAATAAGATTTTAACTCTGAAATAAATGCATAATTATTGAATTGCATCCATTAGCACAACATCATCCATAGAGTTCGGCTGGGAAAGCCTAAACAGATTATTTCATTCAATGAATTTCCAAACTGATAATTGTTCCTGAATTGTTTTTAACATCGGACCATCATTTCGTATTTCATTTACCATTTACAGAATGCTAGATTTTAAATCTCGTGTTATACACGACATGGTAGCGTAAAATTGAAACACCTAAATTGCAATAGTAAAAAGACCATATCAAGCAAAGTGCAATGTTGCGTTTTGAATGTTGATGGAAAGCTTTCACTCCGACATGATCAACGTGTTTTTTATGTGCATGTAACAACATACAAAAAGCTGATAATTTCAATTAATTCAACAAAGTTGAACACCAATGCAGTTAGTGTTGAACATGTTCTCAGTAAAAGCTTTTTCAATTTTGACGCTTCTTTTCAATTGAGAAAATTGATATAAAAAAAATTTGCAATTTTAAATCGAATGCCATGTAATAATGGATTCGTAAAATTGGATGATTTTATCTCATCAAACGTCGGTTGAATTCCTTCACATCAATTTGGCTTCATAAGTTTAAAATGTCTGAATTGACGAATATCGTAAAATTTAGGCATTTTTCATCAACACAAGTAAGTGTTCATTATTTAGATTAGTCTTTTGAGAATTTCAAAAATTACATCATAATGTTCAAGCAATAAAAAAGAAATTCTTAGATAAATGTAAGGCATAAAGAATTTTACATGAGATTTCAACACAAAACTATACAAAATATGAACAAACGGGTCTGTGAATTTATTTGCAATCGTAAATAAAACTTCAGCGCCATATCACTTCATCTTTCCTATTCGCATCAACTTTTGTTTGACTATTTGCAAAACAAAATACATAAATCATAAATTCTTCAAACGATAATGTATTCTCTTTTATGTTCTTATCATATCGTTCGGCATGAAATTCTGTGTAAAGGAAATATTTGCTATCTACTACAGTGAGTAGTTTTCTTGTCTGATATCAAAAGGCATTTCATATGAAAAGAATGAACAACATGTACAACGACACACAAAGTTTATTATGCATGAAAATTCTCTCATAGAACTTTAAGACGCCAATAGAAATTTTTTTTGGGCGAAGCTTGTTACGGTTCACTGAAGGCTTTTTAAGAATAAGTTAAAACAATTTTACAAAAAAAGAACTTTTCGGTGAGCTGCTGCTGTAAAAACATTTATTTAGGTCAGTTAAGTCTCAAAGTGCAATAGTGGAATGTAAAATATGAACTTTTTCTATGATTGGGATGAGAAGAACAAAAAAATTGCATGATTGAAAATTATCTGACTGAAGAAATATTTCCATCATTCGTACAATTTTCCGTCAAGCCATTTTCACAACTTCTCGTTTGCAGAGATGTGAGAGGAATAAAAGAATCTTTGAATCAATTTAAACATCAAATTCTTTTTCGAATTTGAGATTCTTAGTGAATTCGTTTTCAAATTCACTGTACTCTTCAGCTGTGGCTTCTTGATACTGCTGATACTCACTAATGAGATCGTTCATGTTACTTTCAGCTTCAGTGAATTCCATTTCATCCATACCTTCACTTGTGTACCAATGTAAGAAAGCTTTGCGACGGAACATGCACGTAAACTGTTCAGAAATACGACGGAAAAGTTCTTGAATCGATGTTGAGTTACCGATGAATGTTGCTGACATTTTCAAGCCCTTCGGTGGAATGTCACAAACAGCTGTCTTGACATTGTTGGGAATCCACTCGACGAAATACGCGCTGTTTTTATTTTGAATTGATAACATTTGTTCGTCAATCTCCTTCATTGACATTCGACCTCGGAAAACTGCTGCCACTGTCAAGTAACGTCCATGACGAGGATCGCAAGCTGCCATCATATTCTTCGAGTCGAACATTTGTTGCGCTAATTCTGGGACTGATAACGATCGATATTGTTGAGATCCACGTGCAACAAGCGGTGTAAAGCCCGGCATAAAGAAGTGTAATCGAGGAAAAGGAACCATGTTGACAGCAAGTTTACGTAAATCCGCATTAAGTTGTCCTGGAAACCTTAAGCATGTGGTAACGCCTGACATTGTCAACGAGACGAGATGATTCAAATCACCGTATGTGGGTGTCGTTAACTTCAATGTACGGAAGCAAATATCATAAAGTGCTTCATTGTCGATACAATAAGTTTCGTCAGTGTTCTCGACAAGTTGATGAATCGAAAGTGTTGAATTGTAAGGTTCAACGACAGTATCGGAAACTTTTGGTGATGGAACAACTGAGTAAGTGTTCATAATACGATCAGGAAATTCTTCTCGCATTTTAGAAATCAACAAAGTTCCCAATCCTGACCCGGTCCCACCACCTAATGAATGGGTTAGTTGAAAGCCTTGCAAACAATCGCACGATTCAGTTTCTTTCCGAACAACATCCATGACAGAATCGACAAGTTCTGCACCTTCAGTGTAATGTCCTTTAGCCCAATTATTCCCAGCTCCAGACTGACCAAAGACAAAATTATCTGGTCGGAAAAGCTTGCCAATTGACGACATTCTCAAGCTTTCAATTGTTCCTGGTTCAAGGTCGATGAGAATCGCTCGTGGAACGAATTTACAACCGCCGGTTGTCTCATTGTAATAAACGTTAATTCTTTCCAGCTGAAGATCAGAATCGCCTTTATAAATTCCCGCTGAATCAATGCCATGCTCATCGGAGATAATTTCCCAAAACTGTTTCAATGACAAATGATAAACTTCATAAATGATTGACGCTGCACCCACACAGAATTTAAATTGAATTGGAAAAGCATGGAAAATTGTGTTTCGAGAATGATAAACATCAAACCGAGACAAAGTTTCGAGGAGTGTTTCATGTATTTGAATTTATGTCGACATAGATGAACTTTGATTGTTTAAGTCAAAGTTTGAAATTCACAAAATCAAAGTTTTGAGTATTGTAAATTCAACTCAAGCATCTTTACACATTTAAAATTGCTTACCTTTGCACCTATTTGATTTCCACATTGGCCAGCTTGAATATGAACAATTTCTCTCATCTTTCCCACTTTAATAATTCAACCAAAAATATTTCAAGATGTCCCAAGTCAAACTAAGACATTTCATGATTTTCCACGAACTTTTATACTCAATCGAAATTCAATGAAGTGGAAAATATGACGGAAATGATTATGAAGACAATAGAATTATAATTTGGAGAGTTATTAGTAAATGATGGATAATTTGCATATATATCAAGTATCTAAATACGATGATTTGGATTTGAAATCCAACATCAGTTTCACGACTCTAAATTCCATTAATTTCACAAAGTTAGAACATGATTTTCGTTTCAGTTTCGCTCATAATGAATCTCATAAATAATTCAGCAATTCCGATAATGAATTTAAAATCAGTTACCCTGATTTTCCCGAATTTTCTTTTTCCCCAACAAATATTTAATCGCAAATGAAAAAGTGAATTTTCAGAATAAATTTGCGACACGGTGTAAACAGAATAGAAAAGTAACACAATAATTCCATTGAAATTCACACACAAAACAAACGAACAAATATACATTGCATATTGATAACTTACATACATTCAATGGTTGACCGAAATTGGAACCAAAACTGTCGGCAATAAATTTCGCATGGCGTCCCCACCTTCTCTATTCCTTCTTGTTGCCCTCCAGCTCTTTCTCACCACACACACAGTTGTCCAATGACCAGAATAACCAAAAAATAGTGGACAGGAATAGGAGAGAAGGCACACGACAACAATGATTCAAAACTACCAGCAGTTGCTACTATTTGTTTCCAGCCTTCTATGTATCTAAATATTACTTGGACCAGAGTGTACACTTTTTATTCAGTGGCAAATAATAAATACAATAATAATGTTTTCAGATTAGAGTTGTAATAGAACAAGGGGAGTGCATCGGCACATGTTTCCAAAACCAAACTCCATATCACTAGTAAAAACATTGGACACAAGCTTTGTCTACAATCAAGCTCAACAACACAACATTTCGCATATGTTTACTAGCTTTACCGTTCCTCACCAACTAAGCTTTGTGCATACATTTTCCATCACAATCTGAACAGGTATGCAATGTATATATTTATGTATGTATAATTCATTTAGAAAATTTCCCAAATAAAATCTCTACAGATTGTTTCAATCTACAACCAGATCAAAGACAACATACAATTGCTTGCTTTGATATCGCTCGATTTTCAGTGTTTTGATATTGACTAAAACTTATGTCTGTAATTAATTATTAAATTGTAAAGACTTGCTTGAAATTTCAAGTGCTTCTCTTTGGTATTTGTTGTGTTACCTGATGAAGCTTTAATTGTTTCATTCCTTCATTGAATTTCCAATTTTACTTTACTGCTTTTGTTTCATGCTTTAGAGTCGAGAAAGAATGGAAAATCTCTTGTGACTTTTATTGAAGATTTAATGAGAGGATGATGCAGCAATCTTGAGGTCTCCAAACATCAGGGGAAAAGAAAAAATCTTCAGACCTGAACTAAGAGTTGGAAAAATTCATTAAAACTTTTAATTTGAAGAATCATCGAGAGCATTCTTTTCATTACCAAAACCCAACTCTTGTGGAAGAGGGAAAAAAATCTTCTATCTTTAATTTATTGTTCAACGATGGTTATCGAGCGTAAAATACAATTTTTGTATCATAATGCAGATAATTGAAAAATATAAAATAAAGCCAATGTTAAATTTTCCATCTCGCACTTTTTCAATGTTATTATTCATTGTGAAAATTTCGTGAATGTGAAAAGCATTCGAATGGAAAATTGCGTTTGTTGGCGGCAAAATGAAAGACGCGAAAGAGAAAAAATGAAATGAATAAAAAGATTGCAAGCAAATTTCCTTGTGAACGAAGTTGTGTCTTTAAACACTCACTGTGAGGTTTTTTAATTGTGTTTTTCACTCAATGAAAATCATCAAGGCATAGTAATTTAGTAAGCGAAAGCAAAAAAAAGGCATTAAAATGATACGAAGAGATATTTCCCTCCCGTATTTGTAATAATTATGTGGCAGTCGAAAAAAAGGAAAAATTTATTCCACTTTAAAACGAGGTTTTCAGTCGCGGAAAATTTATGAATACTTTGGAAAATTTATTTAATGCGACCAAGGTGGGAGCATAGAATTATTACAGAAATATTTTTATCATATTTCTTCCAGTGGACAGAAATTTGAAATTTATAGAAACTTTCATAATTTTCTCCCATTAAAATAGAAAAATGGTGAAAATTTTCTTGTAAATACTTAAGAAATAAAAAACTATTTTAAATTATTTGGGTTAAGTTGAAATTTCATTTAAATTAAAATTAATTATTTTATTTTTTTGGGTTAACTTAGAAATTAATTCTTTAAAAAATCTTTTAATCCCACAAGAGCAATGCATTCAATTCTGTTTTCATTGTCACTTTTCCCTCATGTTTTCCCTTCTATTTTCTTTTTTCTCTCTCTCTCTGCCATCACTCAACTAGATTTATTCACAGTATGAGATTTCAGATGCCTTCAAGGGGATTTTGTTCTTGATACTTACTCTACACACACACTTAATCACATACATCAACATCACTTTCAAAAATTCACCTGCTGATTCAAGAGTGTTAAATAGGAGAAGGCATAAAGGATTCATTTTTTCTCAAAGACTCAAAGAGCTTGTTAACCAAGGCTTTTGTCTCTCTTACATTATTGTTAGAAGGTGCAATTAATTCTTCTGTTGCTTTTATCATTCTTTTTCGCGCTGCCGCCTAGAAAGTGAATGGAAAATTCCTGCATTTCTCTTTGAATATTCTTGCCTGTTGTTATTCACTGAAGCGCAGCAAATACAATCATCACGAGAAAATTGTTAAAACAAACATCAACAATTACCGTTCATTAAACGAGCGACACTATTTATTATGTGAGCTTTCGTCCCAACTCTATTTATTGCTACCAACATGAACTTAAATAAAAAATCGATAGCTTTGATAAATTGTTTTGTAAATACTCACATCCACATCAAGCGTTGGCACTTACATGAGATTTTTGTTTGATTATTTGCATATTTACGGCATTTCGTGAGGCATAAATTCACTCTCTAATACACACTCGTTGGCTTTTTCTTTTCTATTTACCCTCGACAGCGCGCGGGTGCGCTTAAGGTAAAGTGGCATTTACGGTTATTGACGCTAAAAATCAGCAAATAAAATAAAATTTATGTCGTTGATTTCTGGTTGCTTTTCAAAAGAGGTGATTTAGAATGTTAGAAAAGGTGGGTGGGAGTGAGTGAAGAGGGGGAGAAAGAAACATATTTCCAAGCAGTTAAAGAAATTTTTTATTTTATTTCTTTTTCATGAATGTGTATGATCTACTTTCCGTTCATAAATATTAATTTGAATGTAATTTTTAGTATGAAAGTTTAATTATTTTACAACATTATGTGGTGAATGTTCTGAAAATATATGAAAATAAAAACAAGTTGTGACAGACACTTTAAATGCATTTATTCATCTTGACCACATAATTCAGAAAATTTCAACATTAATTCAATCATCTGTTGCCACAAGATAAATCTGAAATAAGAAAAGCTTAAAATATTTGTCAACTCATCATTTTTATAAAAAATGAGAACATTGAAATGCTTCATGTATGCTTCACAAATGCATTTTTAGTACCACGAGCCAGCAAATCCAGCAAGTTGTCTGCATCAACTTTATTACGATCGAATAAGTTAGAAAATTTCTGAAACATGTGTCAGTTTAATTTTGAATCTTGTTTTGCAATTGCTGTTTGGATTGAAAACAAGAGAAAATGAAAGACGAAAGGTGGAGAAGGGCATCAAAAAGAAATGAAGAGAGGGTAACAAGTTTGTGATGTAAATTTAGTTTGTTATGTTTTGACAAGGGTTAGAAAACCCGTCGAGCCCATTGCCTTTAAACATATTTCAGCTCAATGTGAAACTTTTTTACGCTGCAAAACTTTTCTTGTTTCTAAATCCAACTTGCCAGCTACCATCACAATCCCACTGCTTTGATGCAGAAACAGAAGAAAGAGAAATAAGAAAAAAAAGCTGAAATAAATCTTTAAAATTCAATTCCTGGGCTCAATTTATGAAATAAATTGTTTTTACATGTCTTGACACACATTTTTTCATAAACACACAAAACTTTGCGATTTTGCCTCAAGCGAAACGAAATCTCTTAAAACAAAGCAGCAAATACGCTTTCTGATAGACATTAATGTAAACACGCAAAGCAATATATTCATCGTAAATAAAGTAAGAGAAACATTTTCCCCAATTGTTTATTACAATCAATTGTTGGTTGTTTGCTGATTGTAACGAAGGAAGAATTTTTTTTTGCCTTTTCCTTCTTGTTTGTGTTTATCGATTAAACAAAAATTTTTATGGTTGAATCAACACGTGAAGGTCTCTCTCACTCACTGAATTGAACGCTTTATCGACAGCTGCTGAAAGAAGATTGAAGCTTTAAGGACTCAGCAAATATAAACACAATGAACATGGTTAGATGGTCTGATTTTGATTAAAAAGCCAATCAATGCTTCTTCTACACTATTTTTTATTTATGAAAATATATGATACAAAAAACGTGTATGTTTTAAATATTTTTTGTCTTCTTTCTTGTTTCGTGTTTATCTTGCTTATTTATTCAATCAAAACTTGATTTTGTTTGTAATGAAAAGATTACTAATTGAAACATTCTCATTAATGTTTTAAATGTGGTATTAAAGTTTCTGTTTATTTTTTTCTATCTGCGAGGGAAGAAAATGAAGAGGAAAATTGAAAAAATAAGAAAAACTTTTTTCAAATGAAGTTGGAAAAAGAAAATTTGAATTGAATGACAGAGAAACATCATTGGTTTGAAAAATACTTTTATTTTCTTCTTCTTTTAGTCTTGTTATATTCTTGCATATAATAAATAGGGTTCTTAAATGCATTTCTCAGCTAGTTGAATTCTACATAAAAGTTTTCATCTGCTTTATGAAATTATTCGCAAAAAAAATGTCTTGTGCTCATCATGATTCAATTACAGTTTTTCATTCATTTACTTATTAATTTTTTTTCTTTTTCTTGTGACAAAAAGCGAATCTGCAAGCAGAAAACATTTTCTTGAATTTTCTATCAAAATTGTTCTTTTTTTCTTTTTCTTTTAAGAGTGAAATACTTCTTCAATTAAACTTG